AAACAAGTGACTCTGCAATGTACAGGCCAACCCCCCCCTTTTGCCTGTTCACTCTGTCACATCTGTATAGGTTGTAACCTGGGATCCATATTTCGTTGTCCAAGTGATCCTTTATGTGGGTCTCAGTGAAAGCCGCGAACATTGCCTTTGCCTCTGCAAGCAGTCCACGGATGAAAGGTATTTTGTTGTTTGTTGCTGGCTTTAGACCCTGTATATTTGCAAAGAAGAATGTTATCGGACTGGTGGTATTGTTGGTACTGGGGGGGGGATTTTTTTTTTCCGGCATTAGTATCTGTATCTGTTGGTTTGGAGTGGAGGCCATCGACTGTGGTTCCACTCCAGGAATGACTGGATTTGGTTGTACGATTTCTGCCATTTCTGCCAGTTTTTTTCTTCCTGGCACTAAAAAAACCTCTCCCTCTTGATGGCTGTGGCTACCCAGGTTTTCCCATGGCCTGGATGTTTTGTATCTTTTTGTCCCTTTAGATGGTATGCCTGGCATTTAAGTTATAGCACAGTCTTTCCTGTACTGAAGTAGGTACACATTTTCAGGGTGAAAAAGCTTACAGGAAGGGAGTTTTGCATTTTCCTGTTGTCATATGGGCATGACATTTCTAGGGTGGTCATAGTTGCATGTCCCATCTGTTTTTCCAGATTTCCCATGCAGCAGATACCAAGTGCATAGTATGTGCACAGGCTTGGTTTCCGTTTGCCTTGGGTTTCTGTGACTGTATTCCCTGTTGGTGCATGTTTCCCTGTCTTACTCCTATCCTCCCTAGCACCAACAATGGAGCTCCCACCAGTTGTTTTTGGTAATTTATCCTCACTATTGCTATTGGAGTCCTCTTGTTTGCTATTTCCTGCGGTATTTCTAGTTTGCAATATTGGTTTTATCTTATTTAACTTAAAGATTTTAAAAAAAATGCAAACCAAGTAAAATAATGTCATTCATTAGTGTCAGAACAAAAGAGCTGAGCTAGGCAAAAATAAGAAGGGAGAACTCTAAACTAGAAATCAAATGTAATAAAGAATCATTGTATGGAACCCTTTCAGTGTGAGGATAGTGAAGAAATTCAAGCATTAAGATGAGGTGCAGTGGAGTCGAACTCAACACCAATTCAAAGAGATGGTAGGGAGTAAGCAACACTAGTTAACCGAGGTGCAAAGGTAGGGGCCATGAGCCAGAGCTCAACTTTGCAAAGGACAAACAGCCAGTCCTCAACCCTGACTGACAAAGTCAGTACTCAACCTCAACCAACACAATTAAGAGAATATACATGTGCTGTGGATCATAAATACAAAACTGTAAATACTGGGCAGAAGCTTATACACAGCAGATATACAAAGCGCAATAACGGCATTTTTTTAGTTGGACTATAAGAGGGAGGGAAAGAACAGATAAGTGATGATGAAGGTTATGGGCAGAGGAGAGGGGGTGAGGAAGATTAAATAACCTGACTACTTTGGGTGGGTTTAAAGGTTAATGTGTCGGTTATTTTTGACAATAATTGAAAAAGTTGCAAAATATCCATATTTACAAAGACTAATAATAATGTATAACCCACGAGGTAGGTACTGCAGTATTCGAATACAGTGAAAAACAAAGTTCCTAGATAGGTCTGACAATTTTGAAGAGAAACAAATTTAAATAACTAGTGTTTCCAACACAGTAAGTGTCAGGGGCCCAAGACTGTTCAACTGCCTCCCAGCATACATAAGGGGGATTACCAATAGACCCCTGACTGTCTTCAAGCAGGCACTGGACAGGCAGCTAAAGTCAGTACCTGACCAGCCGGGTTGTGGTCCGTACATCGGGTTGCATGCGGCTAACAGTAACAGCCTGGTTGATCAGGCCCTGATCCACATCAGGCCTGGTCACAGACCGGGCCGCGGGGGCGTTGACCCCCAGAACCCTCTCCAGGTATATTCCAAGTAAACCTGATGTTCTCAAACTTGCACACCATTCATCCCCTCGAGGCATATTACATTCTAGGGATATATTACGGATCATACAAGGCTTTGGGTAAACCACTCCCACATTGAGGAATTTCACCTAGACGTCCTTATATATATATATATATATATATATATATATATATATATATATATATATATATATATATATATATATATATATATATATATATATATATATATATATATATATATATATATTTTTGTACAAAAAAAATAAAAACAAAAAATATACGCATTATATATATTAAAATGTTACATTTTCAAATTTCAAAAAGTATAACTAAACCTGCACTTATAGAACTAAATTCTTTAGTTATTAAAAACAAGTCAAATTTAAATTCTATTTTTTTAAGTCTTCTAAATCTTAAAAGGACGCTGACCAATGACCAAAACTTCTTGATTCAACAACAGAGGGTAGACTATAGGGTTTATTACTACCAAGAAGAAATACCTCTCTGTTCTGTTATACTTTAGCTAGATTAGATTGCAACATACATCAGCTAAAAGCCATTTATTTATATATTTATTTATTTATTAATTTGAACATGATACAGAGAAGTACAAAAGAATACAGTTAAATGTAGCATGCCAAAGCCACTTGAACGCATAGCATTACAGGCAGGCTTAAAATTAACTTAAGATTAACTAAGCAATGATATAGTCAGTGGTACAAAAATTATTGTAAAACAGATAACAATTTAGAACCAATGAGTATTGCAAAGACAGGCCATATGGTCATTTAATGTGTTGCTGTGTAATCAGTAGAATGGAGTATTCTGTTTGGTAATGAAGTTAAATAGTAACAAAGTTTGATTAGGTCAAAGTTTGACATTTATGAGATACAATAATGAAATACATATATGAGATACAATTTATGAGATACAATTATTCAGTATTTATTTAGCTGTGGGTGAGTAAGTGATTTTTGAGAAGAGACTTGAATTTATAAACAGTGTTTCTTTTATATTCACAGGTAATGAATTCCAGATTTTAGGGCCTTTTATGTGTATTGAGTTTTTGCATAGCGTGAGATGGACACGAGGAACATCAAAGAGTGATCTGTGCCTTGTGTTATGGTCATGTGTTCTGTTGAGGTTGGTAAGGAGATGTTTGAGGGGAGGGTTTATGTCAGAGTTAAGTGTTCTATGTATGTAATAGGTGCAGTAATAAGTATGGATGTTTTGAATTGTGAGTAGGTTTAGAGTTTTGAATATTGGTGGAGTGTGTTGTCTGTAGTGGGAATTTGTTATCATTCTGACTGCAGCCTTTTGTTGGGTGATTAGTGGTCTGAGATGGTTAATTGTTGTTGAGCCCCATGCACAAATTCCATAGGTGAGATAGGGGTAAATAAGTGAGTGATATACGGCCAGGAGGGCTGACTGTGGAACATAGTACCGTATCTTCGATAGTATGCCTACGATCTTGGAATTTTTTTTGGAAATTTGTTGTATATGTGTTTGAAATTTGAGTCTATTATCAAGGTGGATTCCTAAGAATTTTCCCTCTGAGTTTTGTGATAGGTGATCCATTTATCATTATGTTTAGAGACACATCTGTAGCTGTTACCAAACTGAATGTAGTAGGTTTTGTCAATGTTTAGAGTAAGTTTGTTGGTCCTCATCCAGGTTGATATTTTCTGTAATTCGGTATTTACAGTATTGGCTAGCATGACTGGGCTCGGGTGAGAGTAGACGTATGTAGTGTCATCTGCAAACAGTGTGGGTTTGAGTAATTGCGAAGCATTTGGTAGGTCATTTATGTATAGGAGAAAGAGAAGAGGGCCTAGGACACTTCCCTGTGGGACACCAACTGTAATTGGCTGTGCGGAAGAGTTTGCCCCATTTGTGTTCACATATTGGCTTCTGTTGCTGAGGTATGACTTTAGGTATTTGAGGGAGTGCCCTCTTATACCATAGTGCGACAATTTCATGTGGAGCAAGTCGTGGTCAACTGTATCGAAAGCTTTACGTAAGTCAATGAAGATCCCATTTGGACTTCTTTTTTCTCTATTGCTGTATAAATATGTTCTAGCATGTGGATAACAGCATCATTAGTATTTTTATTAGGCCTGAACCCAAAATGATAGTGGTTGAGTATGTTGTGGCATATGAGGTAGGAACAGATACGCTTATGGATTAATTTTTCAAAGATTTTAGAGAGGGTGTAAGTTGGATATTGGCCTATAGTTATTCAAGTCTGTGTGGTCTCCTCCTTTATGGATCGGGGTGACCCTTGCTATTTTGAGAACTGTAGGAAAGGTAGATGATTCAATGGATTTGTTAAAGAGTGTTGCAATAATTGGTGACAGCACCTGTGACACGTTTTTGTATATAATGGGTGGTAAGGTATTTAAATCTCCTGTTTTGTTTTTTAGTTTGTTGATAATAAGGGAGACTTCAGTTGGGTTAGTCGGAGCTAGGAACAGTGTGTTCGGGTAGTTGCCAGTGAGGTATTCATTGGGTGGGGTATCTGAGCTTGGGATTTTATTGGCAAGGTTTTTTCCTATAGTGGAGAAGAAATTATTGAGTGTTTGCTGTTTCAGTAGGTGGGAATTGGGGTTCATCTGGTTTTGTTAATTCAATTTCGCTATTTCGTGTTAACTTTTTTGTTCCTAGTATTTCTGATAGGGTTTTCCAGGTCTTTTTTTTATGTCACCTCGTAAGTTGGATAACTGTTCTCATAATACAATTTTTTAGCCCTTCTTATTAGGCTGGTTAGGATTGACGAGTAACGTTTTGTTTGGTCTCTGGTTATATGGTTTATTACAGTGGAAGATGTCCATGTTCTTGAGGAAAATAAATGGGAGAAACAAAACACTACAAATTAACGGAAAAAAAAAAATAGTACGTCATGTGGGAAGTACTTGAAGATTAACAATGACTCAAGGCACAACTTAGATGTCTAAAAGCAATGTCACTAGAAAAGGAATTAACACAATTAAAAATGTCCAAAATTAATACTAATCATAGAATTAGTACAAAAAATGCAACTGTAACACAAAATATAATAAAAATAGGACTTACGGTATTTCCTCTCCAATAACCACTTCCTCGAGGCACATACTACCACCACCTGAGGCCAGGGCTCGTAGTCGCCCACGGTTACTGTCAGGAAGGAACCACAAGCTGGTTAATGGTTAGTTAATAGCTGGCAACATGCAAGGAATGACGTAGTAGTAGTAGTAGCACCATAAGCTGGCAGGCCAGATCAGGTATTGCTATCGTGTAGTAAGCCTTAGGTTAAGTTTGAAGCTTGTAGACTGGTTATGTAAAGCTGCACATCGCCTGTATGCCATCGGTTAAGAATAATTACTAAAATAAGGATTACTTTAATCTTTATTTTAGTAATATTACGCGTGTAGGTATATATACGCTTCCAAGAAGTTAATATACAACCAGATTTGTGGGGGCGGAAGAACAAATAAAGTTGCATTATTACAGTCACTTGAGGGAAAACTCGAAACCTCCAGAGCTCATACAGCGCCTGAGAAATGGGAGGTGATCCGACGAAATGTAAGGTAGCTCCAATTACTTGGATCAAGAGTATCCCCCACACTTGAAGGGAGTGAAAGTGCGTAGTGCTGATCCAGTGAAGGTGTGTGTGGGAGTACACAAAATTTGAGAGTAAGCGAGCCAAAGTTTGCAAGATTTAATATGGATAATTAGTGGAGTAATACTTGCTAATTACAAGTAAGACATGATATTAAATAAGTTTAACTCGCAAGAGCTCTTAATGGAGGTACAAACCTCATGTGACACCATGGCCATGTTTCACGTGACACCATGGCCATGTTTCACCTTGTGACACAATGGACTGATATAACTCATATGAGCAAAGCTTTCTTAATAAATATCCTAGTACTAGAAAGCGCATTATTTACACTAGACATTGCAGTTAAAGTCATCCAAGGTGTAAGCATATCAGACATTCCTTCCCCCTATATAATCAAGCATTTCTAGTGTTAGATAATTAACTTCTAGCCACTACAACTTAGATACTTCCCTATAGTAACCAGTTATAAGTAGTAATAAACATTAGTTGAAACAAATACATGTTGTATACCTCTCCTCCAGGTTTCTGAAATGTTTAAAATATCCATTAGCTAAATAGGCTGATTTTAAGTAAATGGTGGGCAAATACTGATATACCATTCATGTAAACCGTTATTCCAAGGTTAGAAAATTTAGTTTGTTGGCTTAAAAGCCTATCCAATATGAGGTCCATTAAGAATCCAGTTCACCAGTGCACCAACAAATAGGAATTAAGGTATATACAGGGTTGCGTGGCCACCCTGGGCAGCCTGATCCAATAGGTGGGGGAAAAATGGTGGCCAAGTATAAAAAAAATTATTTAAAGTTTCGTGAAAGTCGCTACGCATCATACAATAAAAATACCAGGCCACATTGACGTTATTTTACGTGAGCGCAGTTATATCTGTTGTAACTCTGGTTTAATGTGGTTTAAGGCAAAGTTCAAAATATTTCTGGTGTATGCATCTTAGTTGAGATTGAAAAAATCTGAAAATTGTTAAGTTAAAATATTTTTTTTCACAATATGATCACATTTTATTAGGGATATATTAGTACGAATCATAAACTAAATTGTGGCTGGCGGAGAGTCGATCCCGTACCACCATGTCCAGCCTCGAGAGAAGCCACATAACGTCCACGATGCTCTAACGGTCTAACCAATGCACTGTCGATCCTAGTAAGATCGACGGTGCATTGTCATTACTTTGTAATTTGTTCATGACTGTAACCATGTATAGGAGTGAGGCTGATTTATTACCTTTGTAACTTGCCATGATTGTGGCCAGATCTACCTAGAGTTCATTACCTTCGTAACTAGTTCAGCTATCATAACTTTGGGGTCCAGTCCCTGGACCCATTATGTACCTTTGTAATCTTTTGACTACCGTCCACAGGATGGGTATGGGGTGCATAATAAAGATATTAAACGGAAAACTGAAATGGTGCATTGGTTAAATTATTATTATAATAAAAAAGAAGCGCTAAGCCACAAGGGCTATACAGCTGCATTGGTTAAAGCATCGTGAACGTTGTGTGGCTTCCCTCGAGGCTGGACAAGGAAGGAGGATGCTGAGTGCAGAGCCAGACATTCTCAACTCTATTACTGCAATAAGGTGCCCAGAATCGGGAGAAAGGTTCCCCAGAGTGAGGAAGGTGCCCCCAGCGTGGGGGCAAAGGTGACCCAAGGGCGAAGGGTGGAAGGTCAAATGATTCCAGGAATGGTTGCATCGCTGTATGACCCTTGTAGATTTAGCGCTTCCTTATAATTATAATAAAGGCAGGGAACTGACAACACATCACTGCTGTAGCGGGTGAGAGACTTGGAAGTACACAACGATGACAGGGAGATTCCGGAGTGACCTAGCCTGTCTTAACAGGTGTGGACCTTTAAAGACGTACCTTTTAAAAATATCCTACTCCCCTCCTATTTATCCTTATACATCACCAGTGGATTTCTCACAGGTACCGTGTGCCTGAGCGTTTTATGTGTTCACCCAATCCGTTTGCCTTATCAGTCCTCGCCACACCAGTCTCCAGAATCACGATCGTTTTAGCTATTGAGTTAAGTTCTGGTACTGTCTCTTCCACTCATACCCTCCCTCTCACCAATCTACTCCCCTGTCCCAACTTCCCCGCAGCCCGGCCTAAGACCAAGTTTCTCTGATGCTTGCCTGATCAACCAGGCTATTGTTGCTAAATCCTTAAGAGTCATTTAGCGCCTGGAGAATGGAAGGCAAGCAGGTCTAGTTGGGTGCATCAAAGCACCCAACTAGCGTTAGGTAATTTCAGTAATCTTACTGTGATGTACAAAGTCACTGTTTTCTTGGTCCTACACCTGGCCAAACATCACTGACTCTGAAGACAGCTATTGTACTTTAAAACGGGCAACCGCCTGTAGTTTCAATTTGTATTATCAGCTATTATCATTTATTACCGGACTGGCTGATCTGGAACATTCACAAAGAAACATTCAACAAAGGAATGAAGATCTTAATCGGATTATTAACTGGTAGAGTTAGCAAAGCAGGATAACCCAAGAAAAACTGGCTCGGATCCTTCGCCCCCCAGATGCGACCCACAGCAGTCAGTCGGCTAACACCCAGGTACTTGCTGCTAAGTGAACAGGGGCAACATACAGGTGTATGGAAACATGCCCAACGTTTCCACTTGTGCTGGGATGGGGTAGTAGTCGTAACATTTACAGAGTACTGACTTGGTAGGTTACTCAGCGTTCATAACTAAAAATATATATAAACAAAATAACGAACAAACATTTACCACAAATAAATACTATCATTCCAGGTTAAAGGGCATATCTGTGGATTTGACCCATAAAGTCACTAAGGCTGTCTTTGCTTAGGCATTCCCCGTTCGTTTTATGGGACACCCAAATGGTCCACGCAACAACAAAAAATCACATACTTGCGCCGCGCGTGGAAACCACTCGTGGGTCTCAAAACCATACAGTGAACAGAAGCCAAGAGCTCTGGCTTACAGATGGCTCCAACATCACTCTATAACCAGTTTAATAATATTAAATAGTGTACATAAACAAAACGCACTTATTGCCAGGTTTAGTGTAAGTAGTAAAATAGTTATTATCACATTACATGAATTATTTTGGGCATAAAGACATTGCAGGGGAAGCCTACAGTATCATTACGCTAGGTTTCTCTCAGGATGGAGGTTTATCTAAACGTCGACAAGTCTTATGCCTACTTCTCTGCTTGTTGTCCTAGGCAACATTGCCAGTATGTTGCGGTTAACCAGTTCACCTTCAGTAGTCAAGTACTCGCCGTGGTCGTGTTATTTAACACAGTGTTACTTGAGTGAGGTTGGGGTTCAGCGAGTATGTGAACCTGGCTGTATTTAGAGAAGAGCAGCACTACCACTGTCTCCTTACGTCGTTTCTGTATTCGTCAGGGCAAAAATCACTTCAAATGGGTCTCAGCCATAAAGTGAAACGCTCAGTGGTTCAGATGCTGTAGCGGGAGCATGGAACAACTTTTTAAATATTCATGTTAAAAATGGAAAAGGAAATTTACCTATAACGGAAATGGCAGCACCAACTGCTGGCTTTCTGGTGTTGGACTCTGGTTAGAGTGTCACTATGACTGACACTAGACAGACTACGATTAATCTATACCATCAATGTCATGGTAGAACTGAAGCTGCTGCGTGATCAAGATAATGTAGTCTCTAGAGCATATAATTCACACAGTGAATCAAGGTGGATTCAAATAACCACACAAAAATGTTTGGACTAAATGAACTTTATCATGTTAGGAAACATTTCCCACCACCCTGACAGATAACAGCTTTTCATATTACTATTCCGACCTACCTTCACAAGAAACTAATCATGCACGATACTCAATTTCGATTACTTCCTAAGTTCGTGTATGGAGCACATACACGAGTTTAGAAAGTAATCGCTGATGCCCCCTGACCCTGAGGGGAGAGAGGGGGAAGTGCTATTACCCAAAAACTGCCCTGATGATACAATACACAAGTTTTTAGAATTAATAACCGGCTTCCCCTTTAAAAATTTGAACCTTTTTGCCTACTTGTTGCTTCAACCTTGTGTTACATCCGATTTTAACTTTTTCCTCATTACTTACTCTAAAAGCCTGAGCCCGAATATAGCCGTTGTGTCTGAAGCTAGCCAGAATGCAAAAATTATATAATTTTGTGTTTTCCCCTCTCACACAGGCCCCAAAAACACACAAATTTGGGTGAATTAGCTAAAGAAGCTTAAAATAAGGAATGTTAAGTTTTTTTTTCTTGAAAAAAAAACACTACATTTTAAAACTAGCAGATTCATTATTCACCATAATGAAATTTGCCCAGTTAACAAAAATTCATGGAGAAAGAAAACACCATTGACTGCAAGATTTTACTACGAAAAAAAGGCAAGGCTATAAGTATCTTTGCAGTACGGTTTTTTTAGGGAAAATGACAGTAGCAAAAATCATGGGGAAGAGACGGCCCATACCTGGGCATTATATCTTTTAAGACTGCCCCAAACATCCAACCTTTCAGAATATCCCAATAAAACCCTTAAGATAGGCAAA